TCTGGAGCTGTACCTACCTGCCCAGAAAAAGAAAAGGCTAAGTTAAATAAGGAATTGTAGGGTGATCCAGATATACAGAATGGAAGGAATGTTTTATGGATAGTTGCACACACCTTAGTAGCCATCTTGTGAGAGCTCCTATTACATGTTCTCAGGATTCCAAATCTGCCAACTTCTGCAAATAAGTTGTACTCCTTGATTGTTTTGATTCTGGAATCAAGGCTTAAATCAGTGGTAGGGATTCTGGTCCCCCCAGGTGTTTTAAGCTGCAGTTCTCACAGTCCCCTCTCATTGGCTATCTTAACTGCATCTGATTGGAATTAGATTTCTAAACTTCTAAAGGGCACCAGGTTGCCTATTCCTATTGCTGCTTGCTATTTCTATCCTTTGTAGCAGAATACGCTAGAAACAAAAGGAAGTTGTAGTTTCCAGCAAAGTTAGTTATAAAAATAAAAGGTTTTAAACCAGTGGGTTGCTGGTGTTGGATATACTGATTGTACTTTTAACTATTTAATTCTGCACGAGGCCATAAACCCAGGGTAAATATTTTGTTCTGGGGGAGGGGGAAGGAATAACCTTTAGCTTAAACAAAATGAGAGGAAAAGTTCAGGTTTAAATTGTTAGGTAATTGTTGGATTACCATCTGCTGCAGATTTCCTTCTGCAAATATTTTATCAGAGCCAGAAATATGCAGTAGGTGTAACACTTTGTTTCTTGACACAAAGCAAACACAGCTGTTGGGAAGCAAGCTCTAGAAGATCCAGAAGATGCCTCTATTCAGAGAGAAAAGATTCGCTCTATTCAGATCTATTTTGCTTTTGGTGTGAATTGTGAATAAAATTGTGCTTCATAACTCCTGGAATGTACTGCATGGGGGTTGCCCGCATAGGCAATTGGAAACTTTGACTGGTTTATAATACAGCTGCCAAAGTAGTCAGTGGAATTGCTGTTAACTAATGTTACTGTATTTCATCAGTATTTAAAGACCTGGGCTGGCTAGCAGGTTGTTTTGAGGCTGGAGAAGAGATTATTTAGACAATAAGGGTGTAAAAGAAATCTGCCACGGATTTCTCTGAAAACAAAATGATGTGCTCTGCCAGTTTAGGCACTGATACAGCACAAATGGCTGTAATGCTGGGAGACTACTAGCGTCTGTAGTTTGTTCATTTATTTGTTGTGATTTATATGCTACCAAATTTATATGCTACAGAATAATGGAATTATTGGAATAAGAGCAGTAATATAAAGCATTAAATATAAACTAGACAAGAAGTAATAATAATTAAAACTATTACTATTACTGTTACTGTTACTATTACTATTATTCGCACAGTCAGCCAGATGGATTTGGCATTTTTGTCCACCTATCAAGTCCTTCCCAAGGAACTGGGTAGGCAGGTGTTGTTTGATGGTGTTAAAGGTATCATCCCAGGATATAAGTTGTTGCTGTTATTGTTATTGTTATTCATTCTCAATAACCACCAAACCTCTACTGCAAGGTTAGGGACCCTCATTTTACCTGTCCCCAAAGGCTTTCTAAAATAACCAGATAATCTTATCAGCTTTTCTCAGTCCTGATGGGTTAGTGCTGATCTGACCGTGGGTGCAACCCTGTTCTGGAAGAGAGGGGCAGCAACAAAAAAGGAATGCCATCTTGGTATTTGAAGGTAACACAGCTTGAAGGATGGGACTCCAAGGGTGTCCTTCCCACTAGATCTCATTGGGCAGGCCAAAACCTGCCCAATTTGGAGAAGGCAGTTCTGCAGATACCCAGCATGGCTCTGACCCATGCAGAGCTTTAAAGGTGGTAGCCAACACTCTGAAGTTAGAAATCAACTTGTAGCCTCTTACTCTTAGTAGGGGTCTCTTAGTACAGATATGTTCAAGTGAACTTGGCTTTCAACCAATTGAATCACTACATTCTGGACCAGCTGTAGTTTCCTGATTGTCTGCAAGGGCACACCCATGCAGAGGTTGTTGCAATAGGCCAAGCAGGAAGTGAACAATTATCTTAGCTTTGAGTTCCAAAAGTTTATTCCAAGCAGCATATGGACATGTATATGGGAAAGTTTCATATAAAAAGAAGATAGTTGCATCTCAGAAAACTGAATGCAAGAAAAATAATTACGTCGAAACTAAAATCATTCATAGGTTAAGCTATATTTACAATTTTGTTTATTAGGGAAAGATCATATATAAATAAATATATATTAATATTTAATGCAACACAGTAATCAGTGTGCTTAAGCACATGTGACATGGACAAGTGATATCTATCTATCTATCTATCTATCTATCTATCTATCTATCTATCTATCTATCTATCTTTAAAATTAGGCCAAACTTTAAAAAGATTGAAAACTTAATCTCAATTTCCTATCAGATGAAATAGGGGCAAAACTAATATTTCTCCTTTCAGATATAGACGATTGGGGGTAGAACTTGTCAATTTTTAAAAAAAGAATATTTCAGGTATGATTGACATATTGATGTCTATGTTTTTGTATAGAGCGACCAGATCCCACTTTGTTTTGCTTTATATTGTTTTTATATGGTTTATTATATTGTGAGCTACTGAGAGTCAGTTTGGAATCAAGTGGTGCCTAAACTGAATTAAATAAATACATACATACAGAGTATCTACCACCAATGTCATCCTTGTTTCTAGTTATTAATCTTATGAAACATATCCAATAAAGGAGATAAAGTTGCACTAGTAGACAGGAAGGAGCACCCTAAATGTCTAGAAGGGGTGGGGGTGATAGAAATGTTTACTTTGGTATGTTGTGCATTTTGCCTGGTTTTATGTATAGTACTCATGTTTTGCCTGCTTATTTTAATTTTCTAGTGTGTATATGGCATTGATTCTTTGGTCTGCATGTGTGTTTGTAGTATGTAGGACCAGGTTATCTGAGGAGCCATTTCGCCCCGGTTACTTCAGCCCGCCTCACTCAGTCCAGCAGGAGGGGCATGTTGCAGACCCCACTGGTCAAGGAATTTCGACTGGTGGGGTCTAGGCAGAGGGCCTTTTCTGCTGTGGCCCCCGCCCTATGGAACAATCTGCCTCCCGAGGTCCGGTGTGCCCCCCTTCTCATGGCCTTCAGGAAAGGGGTGAAATCCTGGCTGTGCCAGGAGGCCTGGGGGCTGGATGGTGGCTCGCACCAGTGGAGGTGGCTTATGGGGTGATTGAACTTGCCCCCCCCGGTCATCTTGAGTGTTCTTAGTATTTATGTACAGGGTTTGTTGTCT